CACCAGCCCTTTTGGTGACAGGTGGTCTAAAGGTGCAATCTTTTTTCTTCCACAACCCTTCTTCCCGTCGGGGAGGGGAACCTCCCCCTCCCCTCCCTGTTTTTTTGGGGGAGGGGGACCGATGTGTCAGAGGGTCCTTTTTGGGCCAGTGGGAGAGCAAATATTCGACACCCCTCACGAGGATCGTGGCCCGAGGGGGGGGGCAGACATCGAGGACCCCCCTCTTTTGACCGACCGTCTTCAAGATGGCACCAAGAGGCCCTCCAGGGCTCCCAAGAGGCCCCAAGAGAGCTCCAGGAGCGCCACAAAAAGCCCGAAGACGCTTCCAAAAGGCACCCGAGAGGCACCCAAGAGGTCCCCGAACGGCCTCAGAGAGCCCAAGAAGACCTCCCAAATGGCTCAAGATAGCCCAAGCTGGCTCAAGGTGGCTCCCAAGATGGTTCCCAAGATCCTCCTCCTCCCCCTCCTCCTCCTCCTCCTCCTCCTCCTCCTCGTTCTCATCCTCCCCCTCGTCCTCTTCCTCCTCCTCCTCCTCCTCCTCCTCCTCCTCCTCCTCCTCCTCCTCCTCCTCCTCCTCCTCCTCCCCCTTCTCCCCCTCCCCTTCCTCCTCTTCTTCCTCCTCATTCTCTTAGTCCTCGTCCTCCTCATCCTCGTCCTCCTTCTCCTCGTCTTGCTCCTCTAGCCTCCGCCCTCCTCCTCCTCCTCCTCCTTCTCCTCCTTCTCCTCCTTCTCCTCCTCCTCTTCGCCCCCCCCACCCCCGCGCGGGCCCGGAGATGGCCCCAAGACGCCGTCCAGGCCGGGCTCCCTCACTGTTCGACTGCGCGTGTCTCTTCCTTCCTTCCCCCCCGCCAGCTCCCATGGGCATCGTTTCTGGATGGGCTGGTGGGGTCTATTTTTTTTGGTCTGCGGGCTCGCGAAGCAGGTCGAAAACCGTCCGAACACTAGCCGGGCCGCGACTAGGCAGCAAGAAAAGAGAGGGCAAGCGAAGCGAGCGCGCGGGCAGCCACTCAGAAGGAGGACCAAAAACGGCACTCCCAACCCGGTGGCGTGGAAATCCCGGTGGCGACCATCAGCTGGTGGGGTCTACTTTGTGGTCGGCGGCCGCGCGACAAAGGTCAGCCGGCAACAGGCGTGTCCGGGACGGCGGAACAGGCAAATTCCACGCTAGGCGTGCAATGCACGTGCACAGAGCAAAATGCCCCGCATTCACAGGGACGCACCTAGCGCTCGGAGGCGCAAGCTGCGGAGCAAGTCGCCCTTGCGGCGCCAAGCTCCGAGCAGCTGCCCAGACAGACAACTATGCACCAGCCTGGGACGCCAGCTGCACGTAGTGGGAACGAAAGCCGACCGTCTGGTGGGGTCTACTTTTTTTTTGGTCGGCGGCTCCCTGGCGAAGGTCAAGAAGCGGGGCAACGAACGGGGCGCTGAACGAAGATAATTGGCCGCAGTGGCGAGTGCACATGCAAGGGACAAAATGACCCTCATTAGTCGCCCTTTAGGCGCCAAGCTCCAGACGGCCACAAGCGAGGACGCGAACAGCGCGACCAGGTGATGTCTGGGGGGGTCTACGCGAGGCGTCAAGAATTGCCCAGGCCACCAAACTTCGCGCACCGCGCCCTGTGATGCGCCTTTTTCCCTCGCGCCCTCGCGCCGCCCCCCTGGGGGAGAGCGGCGGCTGTCGGACAGGCCGCGAGGCGCGAAGCGCCAGCCACTTCCTGCCCGTGCTCCGAGGCCCGAAAACCATCACTTCACTAATTTTGGGCCCCAGGGCCCACTGAGGCCCCAGGGGCTCCAGATTAGTGAAGTGATGTTTTTTCCCACGTAAGGACCCCGAAATTCATCACTTCACTAAACCGAGCCCAGGACGAAAGTCAGGGGCCGAATTGCTGCTGTGAAGCCACATCGGCCTCATACATGCCGCCTCTCCTCCTCCGACTCAGGGAGGCCCCCTCCAAAAGGCCTCCTGGATGGGGTCGGAGCAGACGGGGTTGGAGGGCCGCGCCGCCCTCTCGGGCTCCTGTTGGGCCTCCCTCGGCCCCCAACAGGGGCCCCCGAGGGACCTTTTTCTCCATCTGGGTCGCTCTCCCTCTGATGTCCCCACCTTCTTTAGTAGCCTTGACCGCGAGAAAGAAGTTCGAGCACCAAGAAAATACTGAAACTCGAGGGTCTTCACGTGTCGGGCCCTGGGAAGCGGTACTCGTTCGGCACTTCGCTAGCGTGTCGGGTAGACGCTGTTTCGATGCTTTCCTGGTGCTCAAAATCCGCCGGACCCCTTGCGGGGCCACCAGGCTGCGAGGGTGAGGATTGCAGCTCCCTGTTCCAATTGCAGTCTGCAATTTCCACTATCACAGCCCTGCTTTCCGCTTCCTTACTGTTAATTGTTGCTGAACGCGCGAGGGGGGGAGCCCCAAACCAGCTTTTTACCACGCCCAGATCGCGTTGTCTGAATTCCTGGGGGGCGTGCGACACGTCAATGCATGATATTCGCGTCCCCGAGGCCATAATCCAAAGTAACTTACACCATATTCGCGTCCCCGAGGCCATACATTTTTGTAAATTATACAATATTCGCGTCCCCGAAGCCATACCCCCTCGTATATTACGCAATATTCTCGTCCCCGGAAAACCACCTTAAATTAAAAAGATGATCGACCCACGAGCCCGGGAAGGAATATAGAGCTGTAACGCATGGCAACGTTTTCAAAGACACCTGATTGGGTGACGGGTAAATCCAATGCTGAGTGTATCGATCTTGATGTACCGTGCCGAGGGCTGTGCTGTGCTGCACCGTGCTGAACTGCGATGTGCCATGCCGCGAGTGTGCTCTATAGCGTCGTGGATCGAGTCCTCCTTTGCATACGAGTCCTGACCGAACTAATCTGGACCTTAAGCTCGAGCTGCCTGAACACATAGTAGCTGCCCCAGAGCTGATTGACAGGGGGACATGCCAGGAGGACGCGCCGCGAAACGTCTCAAGGGACGCGCCAGGCGACGTGCCAGGGGACGTGCCATGGGGTCACACCGCGGGACGTGCCAGGGGGACGCGCTACGGAACGTGCCAATGGATGTGCCACGGGATGTGCCAGGGGACGCGCCACGCGACGTGCCAGGGGGACTCGCCAAGGGACGCCCCGCGGAACGTGACAAGTTGCAATGCTGAATATATCGATCTTGATGTACCGTGCCGAAATCTGTGCTGTGCTGCGCCGTGTTGAATTGCGATGTGCCATGCCGCGATTGTGCTCTATAGCGTCGTGGATCGAGTCCTCCTTTGCATCCGAGTCCTGACCGAACTGATCTGGACCTTAAGCTCGAGCTGCCTGAACACAAAGTAGCTGCCCCAGAGCTAATTGACAGGGGGACATGCCAGGAGGACGCGCCGCGGAACGTCTCAAGGGACGCGCCAAGCGACGTGCCAAGGGACGTGCCATGGGGACGCACAGCGGGACGGGCCAAGGGGACGCGCTACGGAACGTGCTGGGGACAAGCGTTTCGCTCGAGACATCCTGCCAAAATCCAAGGAATTCCTGGAACAACAAGCGAATTAGTCGAGACATCCTCGAAATTCCTGCGCGCGGGACGTGCCACGCGCGAGACATCCTCGGAATTCCTGCGCGCGGGACGTGAACACAAGCATCTCGCTTGAGAAATCCTCTGAATTCTGGCCCCCCACGAGGCCCCCGCTCGAGACATCCCCCAATTTTGCAAAACCAGCGTTTCGCTCGAGACATCCTCAACCAATTACGAAAAACAAGCGTTTCGCACGAGACATCCTGGCAACATCCAAGGACATCCGGGGAAAAACAAACGAATTAGTCGAGACATCCTCGAAATTCCTGCGCGCGGGACGCGGCACGCGCGAGACATCCTCGGAATTCCAGCGCGCGGGGCGGTTTTCCGAGTCGCGGTCGGGGCTCCAGACTTTTTTTTTTGTTTTTTGTTTTTTCTTAGAAAATTAGATTCTGCTAGGAAAATGCCCCGCACCCTTGTTTCACGAAGGAAACCTGTGGTCCGTGGACCTCCGTTATTTATCCAGGATCCGAGATGGGGGTCGACTTTCCTCGAGCGGGCACGCGCGAAATGCTTTTTTTTCACGCCGATTTGGACTTTACTTCGTTTTTATATAAAGTAATTCCGCCGGCCCCCTTCAAGTCAAAACCGGGGGGTACACCAACTAAAAGAGAACCCTGGGCCCACGCCCTTTCCGGGAACGCCCTTTCTGGGAAAAAACATGCTATTCGCGCCCCCAGGACCATAATCTTTTGTAAATAACGGAATGTCCGCGTCCCCGAGGCCACAAACCCTTCTAAATTAAGCAATATTCGCGCCCTCGAGGCCATAAGCCACAGTAGATTATAACAGATTCGCGTTCCCGAAGCCATACAACCTCGTAAAGTACGCAATTGTTGCGTCCTCGAGGCCATACACCCTCGTAAATTACACGATATTCGCGTCCCCGAAACCATGCACCCTCATACATTACACAATGTTTCGCGCCCCCGAGGCCAGAAACTCTTGAAAATTATGCAATATCCGTAGTTGCGAAATATTCGGCAGTTTGTGAAGTCTCGACGCTGCTTCACGTCAACGTCCCGACCTCCCCATACGGCTCTGGCAGGTCCCACTATGAGAGAGGGGGGCCGGCGGCAGGGGGGCGAAGCTCTTACGGATTCCTCTCTGGGATGTTACGATGGCAACACCAGAACACCCTCCACTGCCACCCGCCCGACCTTTGAACCGCCCACCTTCGGGGATCTTCTGACCCGCGTCAATCCAGACCCGGGTCAGCAGGAGACCAAAAAACTGCAACGCCAGAAAGAAAACCTGCGACGCAGGTCTTCGCAAACCCGGGTCCGCCGATATGCGCGGCCGCCTCGCGGCCACGATATCGGCTCGCCGACCCGGGTCAACCAGGAGGGGGTCTTCGCAGGATCCTGCAGGATCCGGTGCCCTGGCGGACCCCCGTCTGCACTGACCCCCGTCTCTTCAGGCCCCGACGCCTGTGGCTCCAGCTCCCCGGCGGCTCCCCCGCCGACGGCGCCCGCGCCGCCGCGGCCCTCGCGCCCGGCGGGGCCGCCGGGCTCGCAGCGGGAGGGGGCCTGCTCGGGCGCGGCCGACCCGACCCCCTGTCGGGGATCTACATGCCGCTCATTTCTCATCGTGCTCATTTCTAAGTATGATCGTTTCTGATAGTTCCTGGCCCCCTAATGGCTAGGAAGAGGCCCAGGATAGAACAAGTAGAGATGAAAAGATCTTGGCTCCCCAAAAAATCAAGGAACTTTCAGAGACTTAGAAGTGAACAATTTGTACAGGCCCGGGTCAGTGCAAACCCGGGTCGGTCAGGCCTTGAAAGATCCTGCAGGATCCCGCCCCCCAACCCGGGTCAGTGCGCCCCTGGCTCCGCAGGATCCTGCAAGATCTGGCGCTCTGGCCGACCCCCGTTTGCGTGGACCCCCAATCTTAAGGACCCCGACCCTGGCAAACCATCCCCTTCCGTGACGTCACCCTCGCCTTTTAAGCTTTTCTCCAGTTGGGCGTTGCGTAATGGGGGAGTCATAAATCGGGGGGTGGCGAGGGTGGTCCGAAAGGGTACAAAAACGGTACCTAAACGAGCCCCCTTGGGCTCCGGAGGGGCACGAAAGGGGACCGTCTCTGACCCCCCTATTTATGACCCCCCCATTCAGCCGCACACATGACGCCTCCGGGCGAGGGGAAGGGCATACCACGGAAGGGGATGGCCTGCTAGAGGTCGGCTATGAAGGGGCCCCAGGACACACACACACACACATAAATACACACAAATCAAACTATCCCCCATACTTTCCCCATATTTTCTGGGTTTCTGTCTCCCCCCCCACACTTCCCACAGTTCCCCATATTTCCTGGGGAATTGCCGATCAACTGTGTCTGTGTGTTTCTTCCCTCTCCTGAGTACACCACGCGAAATGGTTAAGAAATCATGGGTTAAGAAATTCATAGTCTCAGAACTGGAATAAAAAACCCAAAATTCCCATTCAAATCTTAGGATTTACATTGAAACATTAAGAATAATCGAGACTCTGGCCGAAAATTTAAGTTTTCTTAAGCATCGCCTAAGGAGTACGACGGAAGGGGATGGCCTGCTAGAGGTCGGTTAAGGCCGCCCCGAGGGCCTGCGCGCTCTCGGCCCCCTGCCAGGCCGCCCGCTGCAGCCGGGGCTGGTACTGCTGCGGTTCCTCGCGGGCGGCCGGCACCGGCTCGGACGCTCCTCCTCCTCCTCCTCCTCCTCCTCCTCCTCCTCCTCCTCCTTCCCCTCCTCGTCCTCGTCCTCCTCTTCCTCCTCCTCCTCCTCCTCCTCCTCCTCCTTCTCCTCCTCCTCCTCCTTCCCCTCCTCCTCCTCCCCCTCCTCGTCCTCCTCCTCCTCCTCCTCCTCCTTCCCCTCCTCGTCCTCCTCCTCCTCCTCCTCCTCCTCCTCCTCCTCCTCCTCGGATCGGAAGATGCGGTCGGATCGGAATCGACACGTCGCGCCTTCCGCCCCCAGGGGCCTCCTGGAGGCCCGAAGTGGCGCCCAAGGAGCCTCCAGGAGACACGCAAGAGGCTCAAGATAGCCCTGAGAGCACCCCCAATGAGGCCGAAGCGCCGTCGCCGTCGCCGTCGCCGTCGCCGTCGCCGTCGCCGTCGTCGTCGTCGCCGTCGTCGTCGCCGTCGCCGTCGCCGTCGCCGTCGTCGTCGTCGTCGTCGTCGTCGTCGTCGTCGTCGTCGTCGTCGTCGTCGTCGTCGTCGTCGTCGTCGTCGTCGTCGTCGTCGTCCCCCTTTAAGCTCGGCCGCACCAGCCGTAGGGCCCTCGCAATCGGAACGTGCGTCGGATCGGGCTGCAAAGCGGCACGGGGTCGGAATCGCAACGTGGAGTCGGCCGCGCCAGGGTGTGCGAAGACAGCGTCCTGCAAGGCTCGTGACGCATCGGGACCAGCCCGGGGGGGGGACTCAGCCGAGCTGGAATCGGCGATGCATCGCCGATGGATCGGCGATAGGCCCTCGATCGCGGAACCGCACGACCCTCGGGACCAGCTCAGGGGGGGACTCATCGAGCTGGAATCGGCGATACGCCGCCGACAGATCGGCCCCATAGGCTCTCGATCGCGAAACCGCACGACCCTGGGTGGGGGTGGGGGCTATCGGGCCTCCATCGGCGATCCATGGGCGATGCATCCACCCCCGAGCCTATCCCGCCCCCCCAACATTGCCCCTGATCCTTGCCCCCGCCGGCCAGCGAGAAGGCTGCGGACTGGGAGCGCAGCCTAGGGGAACACACCGCGGCATAGGCTGGAAACATTCGGAGGCCCGCGCGGATTTCTCGGATCGGCGCTGGACCCCTCTCCCTGGCGCGCCAGGGGAGGCCAAGAGGGAGCCTGCGGAGCCGCCAGGGGGTCCAGAGCCGATCCCAGAAATCCGCGCGGACCTCCGACAACTAATCTTTATGCGTTCCCTGAGATCCGATGTCGCGAGCAAACTGCAAAGTCGTGTCAAATCACGACTGGAGCTCTAGACCCGATCTTTCTGCGGCATTTTTCGAGCTGGATCGGTCTGCGATGGTCCTGGGGCCCGAAACTGCGCGAAAACGTCTGGTGTAAGAACGCTGCAACGCTTGAATCTGAGGGGGCCTCCGAAAATTGTGCTTATGCCTTGGAGCTGGTTCCGGCCAGCAGGACGAGGGGTGAGAAGGCTCGAGGTTCTGCCTAGTTTTTCGGCCTCTGGCGGCCGTTTTCGGGCCCTTGGGCTGTCAAAAACTGTGCCCGAGGCCCCCGCCCTGGGCCCTGTGTGAAAAAATGTGCCCCCCCCCTGGATCTCTCGAGTGGGGGATCGACGACAGAATTGTCGAGCCTACGAAAATGCATCGACTGAGGCGTATACCTACCAACGTTCTACATAGTTCTGTCGTGAATTCGATGTGGAAATCAATTCTGGGGTAAATCAATTCTGGAGTCGATCCCCCGCTCGAATCTCAAAGGTGTTCTGTCCTCCGAGGCCTGACTCGGGGGAGGCCAAGAGGGGAGCGTCCAAGAGGGGGGGGGGTGCAAATCATGGCCGGCGGCAGGTGCGCGGCCCAACGGGGGGGCCAGGGACGGAATGAAATAAGAAGAGGCGCCATGAAATCTGGGGAAATATCTCATGGCCCAGGCCATGCTATCCACCCCCCCCCCCCTAGTCATCGCCCCCCTCTCTGCCGCCCCCGACCCGAGGCCTGACCCAGGTCGTCTGCAGGCGCCGCCGGGCCGCCTCCATGCGCTCGAGCTCGAGGAGCTGCTGGGCGATCACCTCCTGCCCGGCCCCGGCGGACTCCGGGGGCCGCCCCGCGAGAGCGGCGGCGATCTCCCCGGCGCAGGCGTTGTACTCGCCCGAGGCGCCCGCCACGGCGCCCTCCTGTCCGGACAATCGAAATGGGCGCGGAAAGGATGGGTACTCCAGATTTCGTGATAAAAGGGAGGGGGTCTGGACCCTCCAAGACAAGCCATTTCAGACCTCCCCCGTGGGAGAACCCTCCAAAACATTGTCCCCAGACCCCCCAGGCCCTCCAAGATAGCCTGGAAGAGACCCCCCCCCGAAATGAGACCCCCCTCCCTTTATTACGAAATCTGGAGTACACCCCGGTCGGAAGAAGTGGGTAGAAACATGAAGTAGGAAGGCGATGGAAGCAGATTGGACTTCCGCCCGCCCCCTGAAGAGGAGGAAAGGAGGAAAACCGCTCGACTCTTGAAGTAGGAAGGCGCCTAAAGTAGATTAGGATTTGGGCATCCAAAAATACCTACTTTCAACGACCGGCGGGTACGATGCCCAGCAGCAAGTCTGGCTCATTCTGAGCCGGACTCGCCGTTCGCGCCGCCGTGGACGCAGCTCCCTGAAGACAGGCAGCGGCCTGCACAGGCAGCGGCCGCTGTCGGCCTTGGACAACCTTTGTGGTTGGACATCGTGCCCCTTTTTTTCCGTACCCGTTTCAGGTGCGGCAGGTTCGTGTCGTGCCGACCCCAGCGTTGGTTTTTGACACCGCGCTGGATCGTTCAACCTTGAACGATCGGCCGCTGCCGCAACGTCCGATCGTTCAGCATCGACCGATTCTGGGCCGCCGGCGGCGTTCCACCTTGAACGTCCGCGCTGGGGTCGCCGCCGGTCGACACGACGCGAACCTACCGTACGCGCAAGGGTGACCCCAGGCAAGAGTGACCTTTCGTGCGCGGCCTGAGGAGGGGCCCTTTGGGGGCGCCGCCAGGCGCGCAAGCCGCTGCTGCCGCATCGCGTTCCGCGATCAGGGGGCCCAATGGGTCCGCACCAAAGGTCACTCTGGCGAAAGCGTCACTCTGGGTCCGTACCCGTTTCAGGTGTCCAGATCCTGGGCCGAGACGGGCCGGGAGCCTCCCACGGCCGGCTCGCCAGCCGCGGCCGCCTCTGGGATCCGGGCGCCGCAGGGCTCTCCCGGGCGAGCCTCTCGGGCCCGGCTGCGGGCCCCGGGGCCCTCGGAGGCCCCTGCGGCTCGAGCGAGGCGCCGCGGGCAGGCGGGGGCCACGGGCTCCGGCCAGGAGGGATGGGGGCGGGGAGGAAGGGCCCGCTTCGTGACGCCACGGCTGGACGCGCCTGGAATCAAAACTGGTCAGTCTCGGCCGTGATTCCTGGCGAGGCTTCAACATCTTGAGCAGGGACCGACCGTCCCGGCATTCCTATGGGTCCACGACGACGATGACGTCATCGTCGTCCTCGTCCTCGTCCTCGTCCTCGTCGTCGTCGTCGTCGTCGTCGTCGTCGTCGTCGTCGTCGTCGTCGTCGTCGTCGTCGTCGTCGAGGCTTCCACGTCTTCGCACCCTCGCCTGCGCCGCCGCGGCGCCCCCCTGCTTTGGAGTCCCGAAACGGTGCGGTGACGGACCGTGCGGTGACCTCGAAATCCCCTCAGACTTCACCGCACGGTCCGTCACCGCACGGCTTTGGGACCCTGGAGGCCCCTGTCGCCCGAGGCATCCTCGGAGAGGGACTCGAGTCCCCAAACCGTGCGGTGACCCCGAATCCCCACCGACTCACCGCACGGTGTGGTCGGGGGTGGGGAGGAGGGACTAGGGAGGAGGAGGAGGAGGAGGAGGAGGAGGAGGAGGAGGAGGAGGAGGAGGAGGAGGAGGAGGAGGAGGAATGAGGAGAGGAGGAGGGAGGAGGATGGAGGAGGAGGAGGAGAGGGAGGAGGAGGAGAGAGGTGAGGAGGAGGAGGAGGAGGAGGGGGAGGCGGGGGAGGAGGAGGAGAGGGGGAGTAGACGGTGCCGCCGCCTGCTCCCGCGCCGGGGCCGCCGAGCAGGGCCGCCCTCGGGCGGGCGACTGGCTCAGGCGGGTGGTCGTCGGGGGGGCGTGTTTTGGCCTGCACACGGCCGACGTCGGAGATGCCCGGAGCTCGAGAGCGTTCTCACCTCCTGGGGGGAGGAGGGGGAGGGGGAGGAGGAGGGGGAGGAGGGGGAGGAGGAGGAGGAGGGGGAGGAGGAGGAGGAGGAGGGGGAGGAGGTGGAGGGGGAGGAGGAGGGGGAGGAGGATTAGGAGGAGGAGGAGGAGGAGGAGGAGGAGGAGGAGGCGTTTCTTCACTTCCACCATGCGCCGGCTTCCGCCGGCGGATGGCCGCCTCGCTTTGCTGCCGCCGAGCTTCCGCCGCCTTCCGCGGCGGAAGAGATGACAACTCTTTCGGTCCTCGAAGGCAGGGCCGCCTCTGGAGCGCCTCGCACAGGGGGTGGAGAACCGGGGACCCAGAGGGCTCCTTCGGGGCCCCTGCTGGAGCCAGCAGGGGGGCCTCAGAGGGAGCCCCACAGCGCCCCGTTCGGGGCCTTTTCTCTTCACCCCCCATCTGGGTTTAAGTCGGGCCTGTCCCCCTAATGACAGGGGGATGTTCGACGAAAGATAAAAATACCCCAAAAATAATTCAAACATAATCCCAACATAGTCGGGGGACTCTTTTTTAAGGTATTTTTTGACCTCTTTGGGGTAGTTTTTGGGGGTACTCTTTGTTTTTCGTCGAACATCCCCCTGTAAGGGGGACACGCCCGACATAACTCTAGGTCCCCCCCCCCCGAATACCACCCGCCCGACTGGCTGCGGTGGCGCCCCGATGCGACCCGGTGCTCGTGCTCCTCCAGGCGCGCCGAGATCTCCGCCGCCTCCCCCAGGGCCGCCCGCAGCCGCCCCCTCTCCTCCGCCATGCCCCGCAGCACCCCGGCCGCGCCCTGCCCGCGGGCGAGCAGCGCGTATCCGCACCCGCGGCCCTCGCGGGGCCGCGCCGGGGCACGGGGCGCCTCCTCGCGGAGGCCTCGCGCGGAGCGGCTCCGTGCGACCGCGCGCCCTGCCGTCGGATGCTGCGACGAAGCCGCGGCATCGTGGGAAAAAAAACCGCGGCAGGGCATCACCACGCCTGCGACGGCAGGGCTGGCGCTGCTCTGTCGACTCTGCCGGCGGCGCGCGGCGGACCGCGCCGCTCGCGAGCAAAACGGACAACCACGACGCCATTCTTCGAGCCGCACGCATCTGTGCCGGCCCGGGGCCCGCAGGCGGGCGGACACGCCGGGTGCGAGGACAGCGCACCGCCCGGAGCTGAGGAGGAGCAGCCGTGCGGCCGCGTATATCCGCGGCGTCGCGCCCCGGAAGGCAGACCGCTGGAGGCCTCCCAGGTGGGGTCGGAGTAGACGGGGTCGGAGGATCTCGCCGCATCGTCGATGCATCGGCGGCGTCCGCGTGGAGAAGATGGGGCTGCACATCGAGCCGCATCGCCGATGCATCGGCGATGCCGCGCGACCCCCCGACCCCATCCGGTCCGGCCCCGTCCGGGAGGCCCAGATCGGCTGCGCGCAAGGGTGACCCCAGGCAAGAGTGACCTTTCGTGCGCGGCCTGAGGAGGGGCCCTTTGGGGGCGCCGCCAGGCGCGCACGCCGCCGCTGCCGCATCGCGTTCCGCGATCAGGGGGCCCAGTGGGTCCGCACCAAAGGTCACTCTGGCGAAAGCGCCACTCTTACAGCGTAGCCGACTAAAACCGCGAGGGCGTGGACATGGATACGCTCGCATGGAGGCGGCCAGAGGGGTCTGAACTGGATGGACCCAGAGAAAGCTGGTCAAGATGGGGAGATAAGGACAAATCCGCTCCAAATCGGTCCCCAGACACCCCTCCCGGGGTCCGCTTGGTGTAATTTTCCACCCTGGATTTAAGTCGGGCGTGTCCCCCTTATATGGGGGATTTTCAACGAAAAATGAAACACACCAAATACTCCCAAATGGTCAAAAATACACAAGACATGGTCCCCAGCGTTTTTTTTTTTTTTTTTTTTTTTTTTTTTTTTTTTTTTTTTTTTTTTTTTTTTTTTTTTTTTTGTTATATATATATACACACAATTTTTGAATGTTCCCCCGGTAGAGGGACAGGCCCGAGTTAACCCTGGATCCGTTTCGACGGTCCTGGGGCCCGACAACGGCCCCCAGAGGGCCGAAGAATGCAGAAACCCTTGTCGACCCCAGAACCTCGAACCTCTTCACCCCCTCCTCCTCCTCCTCCTCCTCCTCCTCCTCCAACCTCCTCCTCCTCCCTCCTCCCCTCCTCCTCCTCCTCCTCCTCCTCTCCTCCTCCTCCTCACACCTCCTCCTCCTCCTCCTCCTCCTCCTCCTCCTCTCCTCCTCCTCCTCCTCCTCCTCCTCCTCCGCCTCCTCCTCCTCCTCCTCCTCGCCTCCTCCTCCTCCTCCTCCTCCTCCTCCTCCTCCTCCTCCTCCTCCTCCTCCTCCTCCTCCTACCCTCCTCCTCCTCCTCCTCCTCCTCCTCCTCCTCCTCCTCCTCCTCCTCCTCCTCCTCCTCTCCTCCTCCTCCTCCCCCTCTCCCCCCCTCCCTCCCCCTCCCCCTCCCCCTCCCCCTACTGCTGGCCAGAACCAGTGCTGGGCCACCTCAATCCCTCAGATCTTACGTTGCGAACCAGTGCAACATCGCCAGGAATCGCGACTGGAGCCCCAAACCCGATCTTTCTGCCTCATTTGTCGAGCTGGACCGATCCTGGAGGGTCCGGGGGCCCAAAACCTGATGAAAACGCCCTGTGTTAGACGAGCGCGTTCCACTACTCGCAAAAAAAACATTCGCAAATGGCCTGGATCCGCCACGGGGGATCTGCGACACCTTCCATCAAGGGAAACACATGCTTTTCGGACGCTTGCGAGTAGGCACTCTGCGAGCAGTGGAACGCGCTCGGTGATGTGTGACAAAAATGGCAACGCCCAGATCTGAGGGGACCCTCCGCCGGCTCCAGCGCCCGCCGCTCGTGGCCTGCTCCAGCGCGCGCAGCTCCCCGAGGCCCTCCAGCGCCCGACGCCGGCGGCCCTCCAGCGCATCCGCCTCTCGGGGGCGTCCACGAGGGGTGCGAGGGGGGGGGGGCGCAAATCGTGGCCGGCGGCACGTGCGCGGCCCCGGGGCGGGGGCCGGGGACGTACCGAGATAAGAAGAGGCGCCATGAGACCTGGGAGATATCGTGGCCCCCACCATGAGCCCCCCCCCTCTACAGTCAACCCGCATCATAAGGGCGCACGATGAGGATGCAAGGGCCTTGGAAGGCCATCTCGAAGCTTCTCGAGCGGGGCGCGGCCAGCGAAAGTGGCCAAGGCTGGACCGAGGAGGCAAGCATGCAAGGGCACCCTTGGGATGGCTGCCCATCCTTACCATGCGGGTTGAATGTGGCCATCGGTGAGGGGCAACGATAGGGGGGGATAGGGATAGGGGGGGAAACATCGACCTGGAATCGGCGATTCATCGCCGAGAGATCGGCAGGTTGGGGCTATCGGGCCCCCATCGGCGATCAATAAGCGATGGGGGCGTCGATGCATCTCTCACTATGCCTGTCCCCCCCTCTCGGCGGCGGCGATAAGGGGCGAATAGCCCCGGGGCGGGGACTACACGCATCCGCCCGGGAGCCTTTTCCAAGACGTCGGCCATCGGCGCACCTGAACACGCGCGTTGCCCTCCCCCTTGGGCTCTTCGCCCCGATCGTCGCCTCCAACTATCGCTGCCCCTGCATCGCCCCCCTCTTGGCCGCCCCCGCGGCCGCCTCCCCCGCGGCCGCCTCCCCGGCGGCCGCCTCCCCGGCGGCCTCCTCGGCGCCGCCGCCCCGCCGCGCCTCGGCGGCGGGCGGCCCCGGCCGCCCGAGCGGCGCCGCCCGCCTGCGCCTCCACGGAAGGCGAGCGAAGGGGGGGGGGGAGCCAGTTGCAGCAGGAGGAAGAAGAGGAGGAGGAGGAGGGGGTGAGGAGGAGGAGGAGGAGGAGGAGGAGGAGGAGGACGAGGAGAAGGGGGAGGAGGAGGAGGGGAGGAGGAGGAGGAGGAGGAGGAGAAGGGGGAGGAGGGGCAGGAGGAGGAGGAGGAGGGGGGGGAGGAGGAGGAAGAGGAGCTCGACCACAATAGAGGCCTCCTAGATGGAGACCGAGTATAGATGTGGTCGGAGGATCGCGCCGCATCGCCGATGCATCGCGGACTTCGGCGGTGCACCGGCGACGTCGGCGTGGAGAAGTTCGGGCGCCACGTCGAGCCGCATCGCCGATGCATCGGCGATGCTGCGCGATCCTCCTCCACTCGGACCCCATCTAGGAGGCCTAGGCACAGGAAGCCTTCCCCAAGAAACCCAACTGAGACCCCAGGGCGTCCACTGACCTCTGGTGGTGGGAACGTCGCGCTTTCCATAGCAAAACCATCGATACCCGAGAAATCCAGGGCATCCTGGAGGCAAGCAGGGTGTTTCTTGGCATGGGTTTCCACTGTAGATCTCCTCTCTGCCCGCGCGGACGGATGTCGAGCAGGACAATGATCCAGAGAGGAGGTGAAAAGGAGGAGGCCTTCACAAAAGGCGGCGGGGCTTCTCCGAAGCCCTCCCTGAGAGGTTTTCTGTGCGTCTTCGAGGAAGGCTCAGAAAGCTTCTCGAAGGCCGAGGGACTTCCGAGCCTTCTGAGAAGGCCCGCCTCTCCTCACTTCCCCCAAGGGTCGCCGCCGCTCCACAAGAACAGACACAGCATCGAATCGGGAGATCGGATCGGATCGGGACGCCGATGCCGAGCTGCTGTGCGAGTTGGCGCGCGTCTACAGAAGGCAGAAGAGCCACCCTCATAATCAACACCCCAACAAGCGAGGCCGCTTCGTAGATACACCCAAGGGAGGAATCGATCAGGGCCGGGCTATTTTGTAACCGCCCAGGGCTGTTTGGCTGCCCCGAAACGCAGCACGCAACATGTGGCGTGCTGACACGGAGCTCAACACCGATGCTCAAAACGCAGGTCTGGCGCGATTCGTTCGCCAAAGCGTGAACCAACACGTGCCGAGCCAACACGCAACGTGTCAGCACGGACGCTTTGAGCACGGTGCGTGTTGCGTTTCAACGCGGGCGTATCAAAACAAATAAGGTCGGAGTCGGAATTCGAATCGAATCGGCGGCGCCAGGATGCATCACAACGCCACGCAAACATCGAGCCGCATCGGATCGCCTGAAGATCGGAATCGAATCGAATCGGGCCGGCCAGAGCCGATATCGAATCGGATCGATCAGTTCGAAACGCACCCTGCCTTCTTTACGACCTGAGCCCAGAGATCCGATGCCTTGCTTTTTCCTGACGGGGGGTCCCTGGCCCTGGAGGCGACCCATTCCCCAGGACTGTTTTTTGGTCCTTTTGGACGCCCGAAATGGGCACGGAAAGAATGGGTACAATGCCCAACAACAAATGTTGTCCCAAACCAACCTGTGTCGAATGGACACAGGCCGCGGCGGCGTGGACAGCGAATCCTGTTCAAAATGAACAGGAACTGCTGTTGGGCATTGTACCCATTCTTTCCGTACCCATTTCGGGCGTCCAGAGTTCCGAATCGTTCTCCGACGGCCCTGGGGTCCGGCGAGGACCTCCAGAGCCGATATCGCATCGGACCGATCGGATCGAAGCGGACCCCGGCCTCGGCGGCGGCGGCTGCCGCCCGGCTCTCGAGCCGGCCGCCGCCGCGGCGCCGCGGCCCGGCGGCATCTGGGCGTCGTGGTCCTGCACCTGAGGTGCAGCGCCGTGGTGCGCAGGAAGGCGTACGTGCTGGTGCTGTGTGTCCTCCTCGGAGGCGCGCGTCCGACCCGAACACATAGTACGGCTAGAACGCACGAGCGAACAGAGCTAGACCAGGCCAGGCCGCCTCCTCCTCCTCCTCCTCCTCCTCCTCCTCCTCCTCCTCCTCCTCCCCCTCCTCCTCCTCCTCACCCTCCGCCTCTTCCTCTCGCTCTGCTCTGTAGTATGTCGTTTCCCGAGCGGTACGGCCAGAAACGCGCCCGCCACAGTGCGTATGTCATGAGATGTCTCGGCGCGCGCGCCGCCCCTTCGGGGGCGATGCAGGCACAGTGTATTCGTATGCTTGGACGGCGCTGACGCTGGGGGTCCCTCTGACCCGGGTCAATCCAGACCCGGGTCAGTCAGGCCCATATGAAGGGCGCCCAGGACACCCAAATAAATACACACAAATAAAGATATTCCCCATATTTTCCTATATTTTCTGGGTTTCTGTCTTCCCCCCCACTTCCCATATTTTCCTACATTTTCTGGGGAATCGAGGATTAATTGTGTCTGTGTGTTTCTTTTCCTCCTGACCATAAGAATCTTGCAAAATCCTGCAAGCTCCTGCGCCCAAACCCGGGTCGGTGCCAAAGATCCTGCAAGATCCTGCAGGATCTTGCGCCCAAGCCCGGGTCAGTGCGGCCCTGGCCCTGCAGGATCCTGCAAGATCGGGCGCTCTGGCTGACCCTTATTTGCATTGACCCCCGCCTCAAGGCTCCCGAGACGCTAGGGGGGGGACCGGCCCAGGAGGAAACATCGAGCTGGAATCGGCAATACATCGTAGGTAGATCGGCGAGAAGCTCCCAGTAGCGAATCCGCACGCTCCTGGGCGGGGTGGGGCCATCGGGCCACCATCGGCGACGAATGGGCGTTTGGAGGGCGATGCGTCCCCCTCTGAGCCTATTCCCCCCCCCTGTGTCAGCGTGAGGCAAACGAGTCCTGAGGGAAACGGGTCCTGGACCCAGGTGCCCTCCCCCAGGACCAGATCTTCATCCTGAATCGTTTTCTGAAAGCCCCAGGGCCCGTGGACGGCCCCGAGAACCCGAAAACGACGCAAAACCTCAGGACCCGTTTCCCTCAAGACCCGTTTCCCCCATGGCGACTATCGTTGCCCCTGAGCACCACGCGCCGCAGGTAGTCCACGTAGAACTGCAAGGCCTTGGTGTCCCCGTCGCCCGTGAAGTCCACGTCGATCTCCCGGGAGCTCCTTCGAGGCGACGATAGGGGCGAATAGCCCAGGGGGGAGCAATGCACGTATCCATGTGCGCCGATGATCCATGTCTTCGGCGAGGCTCCCAGGCGAATACATGTAATGCCCGCCCCTTGGGCTATTCGCCCTCATCGTCGCCGCCGAGCTCCTGCGGCGCCCGAAAGCCAAGCTCGCCTCCCACCGCGCCGCGCGGCTCTCCTGCTGCTGCCGGCTCTGGCGGTGCTGCGCGGCCTGTAGCCGCTCCATGACCACGTTCTTGATCTCGTCGGACAGGGCCGCCTCGGCATCGGTCTCCAGCGTATTCCACACGTACGCGTGCGCCTTTGTAGAGGCAGCGTGGGCCCAGTTCTTTACGACCCATTCCCAGAGATCCGATGCGTTGCTTTTTCCTTCCCGGGGGTCCCTTGACGGTCCTGGTGCCCGGCGAGGGCACCCAGAGGCCCAAAACTGTGAGAGACTGCCAGCTCGATCTTGTTCAAGACGCTGGACGTCTGGGAGCGAGTCTGGGACACGTTCTGTAGAAGGCCTCCGAGATGGGGCCCGAGTGGATGGGGTCGGAGGATTGCGCCGCGTCGCCGATGCATCGGCGAGGTCGGCGCGGATCATATCGGCCTCCGCATCGAGCCGTATCGTCGATGCATCGGCGAGGTCGGCGCGATCCTTCGACCCCCTCTGGTCGGAGCCCACCTGGGAGGCTCAGAGCCTTGGAGTGCAGGTCGAGCTCGCTCCTCGCGAGGCTGACGCTCACCTGCAGGGAAGCGATTTGGTTCTGCTGCTCGGAGATGTGCCTCAGGAGGGCGGCCGCCTCGGTCTGCTGCTTTGGCGCCCGACTCGGCGACGACCCCTGCCCGGGGCCCTTCTCGGCCGGGCCGGGCAGCTCCGAGAACCTGCGGCTCCTCGCCTGGGGCATGTTTCGAGGAAGAAAACACGACAGAAGAATGAACTTTCGGAGCTCCGCGCGGATCTCTTGGATCGGCGCTGGGGCCCCCTGGCGGCGCCTCTGGCGCCGCCCCCAGCGCGCTCCTCGCGCCAGTGAGGGGGGTCCGGCGTCGTTCATGAAATCCGCGCGGAGATCCAGAAGTTTGTGCTTATGCAGTTTTTTGCTCCTCTCATGTTGTCGAAGCTGAAGCCTGCCTTCTTCGGGCGCCTCCTCGCGTGATCCTCGATGCTGCGCGCGGTGTGCTGGAGGGAGTCGGCGAACCTACCGACCCAGGAGCAGGTCCGCAGCTGCGCCTCGTCGATCTCCCGGTCGATGTCTGCTCGCGCTTTGCTCATCTGGCGCCCCTCCGTGCCGTGGTCCACCTCCAGCAAGCCCGCCTCCTGCACGAAGGTGTCGTCGTCCTCGAGGCTCGAGGGTCGCTTCCGCGAGATCGCCTGCAGCGCGGCCACGGTGTCCCACGCGGCCTTCATCTGCAAATTGCCGATCCTCTGGGGAAACAAGACTATGACGATGCTGCTACTCCCGGGTTCGTTCTGACCAGAACTTGGCGAATCCAGCCGTGGCGACGAGGGCCTCCTAGGAGGCCCCAGAAGGCGAAAGCGAGGCAAGGGTAGCGGCTTCGGCACCTTTTCCTCCTCCGATCCTCGCCAGCAGCCCCTCGTGCCACGACCCAGCGTCGAATACGCCCGCGTCCGAGTCGGACAGGCTCGAGAGCGGGCTGTCCGAGCCCGAGGCGTCCGGCGGGCTGCTGGCGCTGGAGCTGGAGCTGTCGCCCTCGTCCGGCTGGTCCGCGACCTCCCGAGGATCTTCAGAACGTCTGCTGGCGCGGAAGCTCGCTGGCCCACCAGAGCCCTGCAGCACGACGCAGGCGGTGCTGCAGTGAGCACTGGCGGTAAGGACGCGCGGCAGGGACGCATGGGCCGTGGATGCCCGAGCTGAGCCTTTCGAGCGGCGATCCGTGGGTGCCTGGACAAGCTGGCCAGCAGAAGCGGCCGAAGGCCGGCTGGAGAAGCAAGGACGCACGGGCATCCTTTGGGAAGTCGCTTATCATGCGCGTTGGCCGTGTGAGGGCCGACGCAGGCTGCGTGCTATCGTTGGCGGCGCAACAGGGGGTGGCGCGAGGTGGGCGTTCATCTAAGACGGTGGGGGAGCTCCCTAGACGGCAAGGGCCTCCTGGCTTCTGATCGGGGATCTTCTGACCCGGGTCAATCCAGACCTGGGTCAGTCAGGCCTTGCTGAATCCTGCAACATCTTGCAAGGCCCTCCACCCATACCCAGGTCAATGCGCAGGATCTTGCAGCGCCCAAGCCTGGGTCAATGCGACCCTGACCCTGCAGGATTCTGCAGGATCGGGCGCTCTGGCTGACCCCCGTTTGCACTGACCGTTTGCATTGACCTCCGTCTCAAGGCTCCCGATCTGAGAAGGCTTCTTAGAAGACGGGCGGGCTTCTAAACAGCTCCCCTGCCTGCTCAGATGCACCGCCATCTTCTTCGAAGCCCACCCCCCCCGCGCCACCACCCCTTGCGGGCGCTCGGCGGAACTGCACGAAGGCAATCACGCAAGGGGCTGGGAGGCGGCCGGGGGGTCTGAGCTGGATAGGCCCAGAGAAGATCGGTCAAGATCGGGGGGGACGAGGGCAAACTCGCAGTTTGGATTCCGGGAGGAGCAGGAGGAGGAGGAGGAGGAGGAGGAGGAGGAGGAGGAGGAGGAGGAGGAGGATGAGGATGAGGATGAGGATGAGGAGGAGGAGGAGGAGGAGGAGGAGGAGGAGGAGGAGGAGAGGGGAGGAGGAGGAGGAGGAGGAGGATGGTGTGTGGCCCTTCGTTGCACTCACTTGCACTCTCGGAAAGAACTGCCCTGGAGTCCAGACTGAATAGTTCTTCGAGCCGCGTCTAACAGTGACGACGAGGGGAAGCCCTTTCACCCCCACAGTCTGCTGGCTGGCACCCAGTGCTGGGCAACCTCGTTCCCCCAAGGCCTGCTCCAACACTGGGCCAACACTAACACCCCAGACACGTTTTTTTTGTTTTCTTCTCATGCGCGGTCCCCAGAAGTCCCGACCCTTTCCCTGGGTCCGGTCTTCATCCTGGGCATTTCTTCGGCAGTCCCCAGAGCCCAGCGAGGGCCCTCCGAGGCCGAAAACGACGCAGAACTTTCGTCCTGAGTTCTGTCAGGATCAACCAGCATCGAATCGAGAAATCGGATCGCATCGGAATGTGCTACAGTCGGGGCCCTGAAGAAGGAACCCTTTTCGTTGGGGAGGGGCTCCGTGTTCCTTAAGTGTTTCGCAGCTTGCCTTGGATTTTCCTTAGGTTTCCGATACGAAATCGAAGTTCAACTTATGGTGAATAGGGGCCTCGTTCCTTCTTTAGGGTTCCTTAGGTCAACGCCCCGACTGTAATCGGATCGGGCCGCATCGGCACGGAGTTGGAATCGAATCGGGCTGGCCGCGCCAAGACACACTACAGCGCCGTGCAGGTGTCGGGCCGCATCGGATCGAGTGAACATCGGAATCGAATCGGAGGAGGAGGAGGAGGAGGAGGAGGAGGAGGAGGAGGAGGAGGAGGAGGAAGAGGATGAGGAGGAGGAGGAGGAGAAGGAGGAGGAGGACCCTGCATTCTTCACGACCCACTCCCAGGAATCCGACGTTTTTCCCTTCCGGGGGGTCCCTTGAGGGTCCTGGGGCCCAGCGAAGGCCTCCGGAGGCCAAGAACTGTGAAAGACTGCTGTCTCGATTTGTTCACGACGCTGGATGTCTGGGAGCGAGTCTGGGACACGTTCTGTAGAAGGCCTCCGAGATGGGGCCCGAGTAGATGGTGTCGGGGAGATCGCGCTGCATCGCCGATGCATCGCCGATGCATCGGCGGTGTCGGCAATGCACCGGCGCCGTGGCCGTGGAGAAAATTGGGCTCCACATCGCCGATGCATCGGCGAGGCGGCGCGACCCTCCGACTTCATCTGCTCGGACCCCATCTGGGAGGCCTCTACGGAACGTGTCCCAGACCCGCTCCCAGACATCCAGCGTCCTGAACAAATCGAGGCAGCAGTCTTTCACAGTCCTCCTCCTCCTCCTCCTCCTCCTCCTCCTCCTGGGAGGCCTCTGCAGAACGTGTCCCAGACCCGCTCCCAGGCATCCAGCGTCCTGCTGTCTGGGGGCGGGCCTGGTGCACGCTCTGGGGCCACCGAGCCTGGGGCGCAGGCCCAGGCCTGGGACTTCCGTCGGGCGTGTTTCCCTCTGCAGGAGGGATGTTCCAACAGTTGTAAGACAAGCAGTCTGGGCATTTTTATTTCTTCGTGGCGGGAATTTTGAGGGGGAGCTGGGACACAGAAGTACATAGACACAAATAACCAGATTCCCCATCATTTCCCATATGTTCTGGGTCTCTGTCTCCCCCCCCAGCTTCCCATATTTTCCATCTCTTGTGGGGAATCGACGATTCATCGTGACTGTGTCTTTTTCCCCTCCTGAAATCAAGGGCTCCCAACTTCGCGCTTCGCGCTGCGCGAATAACTTCGCGCTCTCGCGCCGCCTCCCAGGGAAGAAGAGGAGGATGAGGAGGAATCGGAGCCGAAGCGCGAAGCGCGAATAACTTCGCGCCCTCGAGGGCGCCCTTGCATGTGCGCGGCCCTGGGGCGGGGGCCGGGGACGTACTGAGATAAGAACAGGGGCCATGAGATCTGGGGAGATCTCATGGCCCCCGCCATGAGATCCCCCCCCTCTACAGTCAACCCGTCTAGTAAGGGCGCACGATAAGGACGCAAGGGCCACTTCGAAGCTTCGCGAGCGGGGAGCGGCCAGCGAAAGCGGCAAGGCTGGACCGAAGAGGCAGGCAAGGGCCCCTTGTGCCATTTGGGCCCCCGAGCCCCCCACTTCCCACATTTTCCAATATCTTCTCCTGGAAGTCGACGATTGATTGTGTCTGGGGGGGCTCCCCGGCGGCGCCTCCGGCGCCGCCCCACTGCGCGCGCTCCGCGGGTCCAGCGTGGTGGGCTTGTCTCCCACCACCACCACCACAAGTAGGACTCCTCCTCCTCCTCCTCCTCCTCCTCCTCCTCCCTCCTCCTCCTCCCTCCCTCCTCCTCCCTCCTCCTCCTCCTCCTCCTCCTCTTCCTCTCCTCCTCCTCCTCCTCCTCCTCCTCCTCCTCCTCCTCCTCCTCCTCCTCCCCTCCTCCTCCTCCTCCCCCCTCCTCCCCTCCTGAGCTTCGGGCCCCCGCACCTCGGCGACCCTGCGCGGCGCGCGCGGCGGGAAGACGCGCGTCGCCGTCGGCCGCCAGGCCGCGGCCCCGCTGGGCGAGCCCGAGGCGGGCGAGGCGGGCGCCGGCGGGCTCGGCGCGGGCGCGGCGCGGGCGCCGGGCGCCAGGGCCCACCTGAGCGGCGAGGAGGAGCGCTCCTCCTCCTCCTCCTCCTCCTCCTCCTCCTCCTCGTCCTCCTCCTCCTCCTCCTCCTTCTCCTTCTCATCCTTCTCCTTCTCCTCCTCCTCCTCCTTTTCCTCCTCTTCCTCCTCGTCCTGGGATCCAAACTGCGAGATCTCGACCGATCTTCTGTGGGCCTATCCAGCTCAGACCCCCCGGCCGCCTCCCAGCCCCTTGCGTGACTGCCTTCGTGCAGTTCCGCCGAGCGCCCGCAAGGGGTGGTGGCGCGGCGAGGAGGAGCCGCCGCCTCCTCCTCCTCCTCCTCCTCCTCCTCCGCCTCCTCCTCCTCCTCCGCCTCCTCCTCCTCCTCCTCCTCCTCCTCCTCTTTCTCCTCCTCGGCCCTGCGCGAGGCGACGTAGCGACATTGCCCAGGCGTCCGCCGTCTTTCGGCGGCGAGCCTGGGGGGTGGGCGAGGAGGCGCGGGGCCCTGCGCGCGTCGACGTGCAGTCGGACTCGACTGGACAGGGCACGCGAGAGGACACGCTCCTCCTCCTCCTCCTCCTCCTCCTCCTCTTCCGACCCTTCCGAGGGCCACATTGCCGCAGGAGTGCAAGAAGGCACGTGTCGCGAGGCACAGGACACAAGGGTAATTACCCTTGAGCCGGCAGGGTCGACCTGCTAATCCGGGCCGACGGTAGCGTCATTGCCCAGGCGTCCGCCGTCTTTCGGCGGCGTGCCCAGCGGTGGAACCGCGAAGGGGCGAACCTTCTCAGAAGGCTCGGAAATCCCCGGGCCTTCTGAGAAGTTCTCTGAGCCTTCCCCGACGACGCGGGACGTCTCTCAGAATGTTGGAGGCCTTCTGAGAAGCCCCGTCGCCTTTTGAAAAGGCCTTTTCCCTCTCGCCCCCCTTCTCTCGCAGCCGAATCTGGAAGAAATCAAGACGGACGAGGCATGTGTGATGCATGGGTGATGCGGCGCGATCCCCCGACTCCACCTACACAGAACGTGTTCCGGACCCGCTCCCAAACATCCACCGTGCTGAACGCATCAGGACTGGCATTTTTCACGGCTCGGGACGGACAAAAACAATCCTGAGGAATGGGTCGAGACCTCTGGGGGCCCCGTAATCATGGAAACAACCGGCCGACCTCTGTGGGGTCTGTAGGCGTGTGCACTTCTTCCCCACGCCGTAATCTTCCCCCCACCGAATCGTAAATCACGCGCTTGAGCGGAACTGGACTTCGGAGGCCATTCGCATATGCGCCCTATGCAAATGGCGAATGGAACGGGCCAGCTCCTCGTGCGTTCCCGGGATTCTGCCTCGGGGCCATTTGTGTGGGCGGCCTGTGCTAGTTGCTAATCGCAAGGGCCAGCCCCCCGGACGACCTGGGGCCGAACGCCTCGGGGCTCGTGCCCCTTTGCGTAAGCGCCCTACGCAAATGTCTCCTGGAACAGGCCAACCGCTGGTGCGTTCCCAAGGCTGGTCGCATAAGCGGCCCATGCAAATTGCCGATCGCACGGCCCCCCCCCCCATACGACCGACTTTTGTTCTCCTGGTTCGACGGGCCATTCCCGGGTTGGACGAGCATTCCCTGGCTCGACGGCGAGAAAATGACCCGGTTCTTTCCCGACTGGAGGGGTTATTCCTTGGTTGGTGCCTTTGACGAGCTTCTTGAGAGCCTCAGAGAGGCTTCTTGACAGCCTCTGAAAAACTTCTTCTGAGCCACTGGGAGAGCCCATGAGGAGCTCCTTGAGAGCCTCTGATAAGCTTGTTGCGAGCCTCTGAGAAGCTCCTTGAGAGCTTCCGAGAGGCTCCCCGAGTGCCTCTGAGAAGCTTCTTCAAAGCCTCTGAAAGGAGTCTTCAGAGCCACTGTAAAGCATCTTGAGAGTCTCTGAGAAACCTCGAAGAGTCCTGATAAACCGTAAGGAATCTTGAGGGGCCCGAAGGAACCCTGAAGAATCTCCAGGAATCTTGGCAACCCTGAAGAATTCGGAAAGAACTGAAGAAACCGGAGGAATCTTGAAGAATCCGGAGAAATCTTCAGGAATCTTGAGGAATCCTCACGACCCCTGACGAATCCAAAAAAATCCGGTGGAATCTGGAGGGGGCCAGGAAGAATCATGAAGGCCTCCCAGAGAATCCGAAAGAAAATGCGGATGAATCCGGAGACATCCCGAAGAATCCGGAGGTTGTTTTTGGACCCTCAGGGACCCCGAGGAAGCCTGCAGAATCCGTAGGAATCCGGAGGATCCCTGCGGAACCCAGAGGAACCCTGAGGAACTCCGAGGAAACCCAAGGAATCGTCAAGGGTCCTGCAGAATCCTCGAAAAGCCGTGGGGATCTTATGGAAACCTGGGGAATCCAAGGACATCGGGAATCATCCTGAAGACTCCCACTAATTCATAGTATTCTCTTGCACAGGGTGTCTAGAGCTCCGTCTACGTTATTCCGCGTCGCACACCCCCCTCCCCCCCCCGCGTCCCCAGCGCCAGAGTGGGACCCCCGCGCCGTGGCTCTCTGCCCCGAGCCCCCCCGCGTCCCCAGCGCCCCAGCGGGAGCCCCGCTCACTGCCCCCTCTGCCACGAACGCTTTATTCCGCGTCGCACCCCCCTCCCCCCGCTCCCCCAGCGTCAGAGTGGGACCCCTGCGCCGTGGCTCTCTGCCCCGAGCCCCACCGCGTCCCCAGCGCCTCAGCGGGAGCCCCGCCCACTGGCCCCTCCGCCACGAACGCTTTATTCCGCGTCGCGACGCACACCACCTCCCCCACCTCCCTCCCCGCGTCTCCAGTTGGACCCCTGCCCTGTGGCCCTCTGCCCCAAGCCCCGCCCAATGCCCCCTCCGCCCCGACCATTTTATTCCGCGTCGCGACGCACACCACCTCCCCCCCTCCTCTCTGCGCCCCCAGCGCCCCAGTGGGATCTCCGCCCCGTGCCCCCTCCGCTCCGAGCACTTTATTCCGCGTCGCGACGCACGCCCCCCCCCTCCCCACCTGGGATTTGGGCCGCGTTGCTGGGCCCCGAGGGGCGATGTCTTGCCCCCTCTTCCCCCCTTCTCCTCCACCTCCTCCTCCTCCTCCTGGAAGCTTCCCTGAATACCCTGACCCACAGCCCACACGCCGTGGCGGGATGTGCCGACGGCCACTCGATATTTGAGGGTGTGGGAGCCCGCAGAAATCCTTTCCCTCGTCCTCCTCGTGCTCTTCCCTCTCCCCCGCCCTCCTCCGCCCCCTCCTCCTCTTCCTCCTTTCCGCAATCTCCTGCTCATGATTGCCGCCCTCCCTTTTGCTCTCTTCCAAGTCTTCCTTCCACGGATCCGGCCCGTGTAGCGCCACTGCAGAGTCCATCTCCACAGTGGTCACCCGAACGGGCTCCACCTGCAAGACTTAACATTTAAAATGTCGGCGGGTGTGGTGTAAGCCTGTATATCAAAACATCGGGTATCCGGGCACGCCGCATTGTAGCCTCAGATCTGGGCGCTGCAATTTTTCCATACTGGGGTTCTCGCCTGGTTCCCGGCCCCAGGGCCATCACAGATCGACCAGGCTCGAAGCATGGAACAGAAAGAGGTCCAAGGCTCCAGTCGTGATTTTCACGATGTTGCATCCTGGGAGGTCTTCGTGAGAACAGTTTAGAACTATCTCATTCGATGAAAAGGCTATTAAACCCGATTCGGCGGGATGCAATTGGGGATTCAATGTGATCAAGCGAGGTTGATCGGAATAAGTTCCGCATTAAATGGGATTGTGCTGGATTGCTCATGTTTTCGACTACGAATCTACCAGCGCCGATGTTGAATCCCACCAGCCCTTTGGGCTAAGGTGGTCTAGCGAGTTCTTTCTTTCCTCTGTCGCTTCCTTTGGGGGAGGGGTACCCCCCTTCCCCTCCCTGAGTTTTTTGGGGGAGTTCGGCGAGGGGTGAGGGGGTCCGCTTTCGCCCAATGTGGCTCCTAGAGGGCCTCAGATGCTCCAAGATGGCCTCCAAGGCGGCTCAAGATAGCCGAAGATGGTTCAAGATAGCTTCCAACATGCCCCCCAAAGGCCCCAAGAAGGCCACAAGGCGGCTCCAAGTGCTTTCGGGGCACCCTCAAGACCCCCCCAAGAAGCCAACATCCTTCAAACACCGATGGAACATCACTGATTTTTGCCTTCTCGCCTTTTCGCTTCCGATGCGCTGTTGAAGCCTCAGGATGCCCCACGAGAGCGCCAAGAGGGGTGCAAGAGGCCTCCAAGACGGCCCCTAGAGCGCCCCAAAAGGCGATTTCGGGCGCTCTTGGAGGGAGGAGGGCTAGACAAAGGACCCCCCCCTTTGATCGATGGCCTCCAACATGGCCCGAAGAGGCCCTCCATGGCTCCCAAGGGACCCCAAAGAACGCCCCAAGAGGGCTCCAAGACGGCCCCAAGATCGCCCAAGAGCGCGCCAAGAGCGCCCCACAAGGGCCCCAAGAGGCGGTTTGCCTCCTCCTCCTTCTCCTTCTCCCCCTGCCCTTCCTCCTCCTTCTGCTCCCGCCCCCCCCCGTGGGCACCAGGACAAGCAAACTCCGCTGCTGAACGTCGCGTGGCATGTTGGAACAGCTGCCGTGTGCGTCAACTCGCATCGGTCGCCAGAAGGACCGATAGGAGCCGACAACAACCGACAACGAAGATGCCCTCCAATGCCCCCCCCCTTGCTCCCAAAGATCTCCCTGTTCATCCTGGTTGCCCGCCTTGTTTCACTCTGTGTCCTTTCGCCCCTCTTCCCGTCAGCTCTCATGGGCAGGGCTTCTGAACGGGCTGGGGGGGGATCAGCGAAGCGCGAAGAATTAAACCTCGCAGGAGTTGCACACCAAGAGAAGCCGAACCTTACGCGAGAAGCTCACGCCGCGGCTCACGCGGGCCGCCGCCGTGGCACACCGCGCGGAGACGAGGG